CTGACCACTCTCTCCCTCCATACAACACTCTACAAAGTCATCTAGCACATTTCAGCATTTCCTGGATCCCAATAAAAGGGACACTTTTTTTCTCCATTTTTATCTCAACATGACCTTCTTCCTCACACCCTTAAATATAATGGCTATCAAATTTGCTTGTGTTTGGGGGGGGTGTGTCAGGGCCTCAGGACTCAAGTGACTACTGCCACCTATTGACCTAAATTTGTTCAAGATGGACCTTTAATATACTGCTTACAGGGCATCAATAGCTTAAACATGCAAAGGCATGGCTCTTGGGGCTTTTCTGAGACCCTCTGAACAATGAGATCAAAGAAATACAAAAGCAAGACTGGGCAGAGAGCCAGATCAATGGTGCCTTTCTGTATGCACAGGCAACACAAAAGGCCCAAGGAATGAAAGAAAAACTCTAAGACCCCTCGAGAGCCTGGAAGAAAAGTAGAGGACAAAATTTTTCTCAAGCAATAGTACAAATCTTGTGCCGAACAGTACCAATGAGGTTACCATCCAAGAGAAGGTAGGATTTCACTAATAATAACTTCATCAGGTTGGCCAAATCCTTGGCAGGAATCTAGACTTTCAGAGCAAACAGATCCCAGTGACACTAAAGACTATGCCAATCCTTAAACAATCTGCACCGATCAGCAGTGGAGAGTGGACAGACTGGACTCTGAAGGGAGGGTGTCTTCACCATGCAGTTCAGTGGGTTGCAGTAGTTATGCACCTTCCACAGCCCAATGCAAAGTTTGAACTCTCCACAGTGCTGAATCCCAAGACACTGCAACAAGGTCATCCTCTTCTCTTTAAACAAACTGTATTTTTCTAGTAGGGTATTAATGAAGACTTTTTAGGAACCCCTGACAGATATTTCCCCAAACCTTCATAAAAATCCTAAGAAAGCAAAGTTTTTGAGGCAAAAACAGGACTCTGTCAAACTCTCTTCCCACTCCCTAAGGTGAAAAAAACTGAGGCAGAGAATATAAATTATTTGTACAGAAAAAAACCAAGACTTTTTCTAATATTTATTTTTATTAATTTATGTGTATATGTGTCTGTGTGACTGAATGCCATAGCATGCAGCTGTCCTTGGAGGTCAAAAGAGGGCTTTGGATCCCCCGGAGCTGGAGTTACAGGTATTTGTGAGCTACCTAATGTGGTTAGGAAGAACTGAACTCAGGTTCTCTGGAAGATCAGCAAGTGTTCTTAACCACTGAACCATCTCTCCAGCCCAGGACTTTCTTACTGTCACATGATAACCCTAACAGGTGCTCATGGGCTTTGACTTAGTAAACCCAGGAAATAATCTAATATCACTTGGTATTCATGCAGTCTGGAGGATGAAGAACAGAATTTGAATAGGAATTCAGGAAGTGAACAGAACAGCCATTAACCCTGAAATTCTAATCCTTAGTTCTCCATGCTAACAGTGGTGCTCAAACTGTATTCTATGGTGGTCTCGCGGTTCATGGGAGCTTCTCAGAAATCTTAAGAAGCTATAAGAATAAGGACCCCTCATCCCTACTTCAGTAAAGGTAACCTTACTTGTGTCTGCTTTTCATTGAAAATCTACATAAAATCCTTCTGAATATATTCTGTTGTTTAACAACTGTAGTACAAATATCCTCTGAAAAAAATTCTAGTAATTGTTGGAAGCCTTTTCTGAATGATGCCAAAAGGCCAGCGAATACATGTCGTGGAGTTAAAGACTCACTTAAATTATAAGGCCCAAGGTCAGTATCTGTTCTGCTTATTGATACAGCAGGAAGACCTGCACAGTGCAAAGCTTGTGGTTTCTGTGAAGGCCTCTAACAGACATGGGGCGCTAAGAAATGGAACCCCCAGAGTCCACCCGTCTTCACCTCCCCAGCACTGAAATTACAAGTGCACATACCATGCCTGCTGTTTTATGTGGGCAATGGGGACTCAGGCCTCATGCTTATGTGGCAAGCACTTTACAGACCATCTCCCTGACCTGATAAGATCTTTTTTTAAAAGAGGGGCTGGAGAGATGCTCAGTGGTTAAGAACACTGACTGACTGCTTTTGCAGAGGACCCAGGTTCGATTCTCAGCACCCACATGGCAGCTACAATCCTTAACTCCAGTTCCAGGGGAATCTGACACCCTCTTCTGACTTTCATGGCTTTGCACAACTGGACACACTCACATACATGCAGACAATACACTCATACATATAAAATAAAAAAAATAATAATTTTTTAGAAAAGGAAAAAGAAATCCCCTAATTTTTAAATCTCAACAAATTAGAAACATCAGCCAAACATGGTGGTGCACGCCTGTAATCCCAGAACTCAGGAGACAGAAGGTCAAGAGTTGAAGGTCATCCTCAGCACATAACAAGTTCAAGACTAGTCTGTCTCAGCTACCTGAGACCCTGTCTCAAAAAAAAAAAAAGTCAGAAACATGAGTTAGTAGTCCTATCAAAAGAATACAGTGGCTCTTACCAAAGCATCTTTAACGTAGCTTGGATATTTGGTTTTGTTGTTTTTTTGTGGTACTAGGAATTAAACCAGGGCCTTCCATATCCTAGGCAAGTATTCTACCTCAGAGCTCTATCCCCAGGCTTATTTTGAAACAGGCTCTGAATACATTTCCCAGGCTAGCCTTGATCTCACTATGTAGTGCAGACAGGCCTCAAACTTGCATTCCTCCTGCCTCACCCTCCTGAGAAGCAGATGTCACCTCATCTGGCTCCCAAAGTATATTTTAGCTGAACCACTTGTCAGTTCAGCTGGAAAGAAAACTCTCTAAATCTGGTTTTGGGGTTTTTGAGACAAGATCTCACTATGGAGTTTCATCTAAATGTATGAGGTCTTGGGGTACCACACAGGCCCCCTCAGATCTGCCAAGAACTAAAAGAAGTCCCAGAGTAAGCCCATCTGGGGCCATCCACAAAAACTCAAGACTTGGGCCGGGTATGATGGCGCAAGCCTTTAATCCCAGCACTTGGGAGGCAGAGGCAGGCGGATCTCTGTGAGTTCAAGGCCAGCCTGGTCTACATAGTGAGTTCCAGGCCAGCTGGAGCCACACAGAGATCCTGTCTCAAAAAGACCAAAAAATAAATAAATAAATAAAACCAAACCTCAAGACTCCAGCAGAGATACAAATGTACTTTTTAAAAAACTGGGGGGGGGGGGTAATGCACATGTGTATAGATATATATACCCATGCATATAGAGATGTGGGGTGTCCTGTCCTGCTCTATCGCTCTCCACACTACTTCTTTGAGACAGGGTCTTTCAATGAACCTGGAACTAAGGTGACAGGCAGCAGACCCCACCTGTTCTGTCTCCACCCCCACCTCTAGCACTGGGGGTTACAGGTGTGTGCAGTTATGCCTAACTTTATCATGCTTTGCTTTTTTAAAAAACTTATGTGTGGGGGGTGAGAGGCATGTAAAAGTCTAAGGAGAACTTTCAGGAGTCAGTGCTCTTCTTTCACCAGTGAGTCCAGGAAGCAAATTCAGTTTTGTTTTGTTTTTTTTGTCTTTTTGAGACAGGGTCTCCTTGTAGCCCCAGCTGGCCTGGAACTCACTATGTAGACCAGGCTGGCCTTGAACTCACAGAGATCCGCCTGCCTCTGCCTCCCGAGTGCTGGGATTAATGGTGTGCACCACCATGCCCGGCTGCAAATTCAGATTTTAAGGGTTGGCAGCAGGTCCCTTTACTCTCTGAGCCATGTCACCAGCCCCCAGTCCCCACATTTGACTTTTTACGTGGGTGCTGAGGATTCAAACTCATGTCCTCATGCTACACAGCAAGCACTCTTATTCACTGAGCCATCTCCCCAGCACCTAAAGGCTTCCTTTTATTTGTTTATTTTTTTGAACTATTGGGCTTGAACCTAGGGCCTCTTGAATATAAAGCAAGTGCTCTCTACCAGAGCCACAGCTCCAGACCTCAGGTGCACTTATTTATTTAGCTGAGAAAAATTAAAGGACAGAGATATTAGGCGATTTAACCACAAACACAGAATTAGAAGACAATCACAAATCTAGTCTTCTAATTTCTACCAGAGTGTAGTTTGACTAAAAATGGATTCTTGCCTCAATCAGAAAGAGTTTAAATCCAAACACAGAGGACTCAGAATCCACAAAGTTTTAGTGACATAATGACCTAAATTATATTCCTGTTGATGACAATAAAATCAGATGTTCACGAGACCTGAAGTCTTTTTAAAGACTCCAGTGAATTACTCACACAGACTCAGCTCATGTTATCTCTGTTTGCTTGTACCATCCAAAGTCCATGGGACTGCTCACTGCAGAGGTTATTCTCTGCTCAGAATGCAAGATCTCAGCTCTGCACCTTCTGCCAATCTCCTGACTTGGGTTTGGCTCATATTTCTGTGGGGCTTTCATTCTTTGGTATCACACTAGGAATTTTGTCTCCTTGCTTGATGGCATTCTTTTGCAGCTTTTAAAAGGGCTGGCTTTTCCTGATTCTGGTAAACAGGTCTCAGCTGAAGGGTCAAAGAAACACAAGACTATACCAACTCTTCATTCTAATCACTTCAGCTATTCTTTGAACATTCTCTCTTAAGCTGAGCACAGATCAGCTCTTATGATCATGCCATTTTAGAAAGAGAAGCATCCAAAAAGGTGGAGACATGCAAAACTGCCAACAGGGAACCAACCTGTCTGGTTTTTAATCAAGCACCACACATTTCCTGAGCCCCTAATGCCACCTGGTGGCCAAGCTGCATAGATCAACAAACCTAAATGCAACACATTTTAGATGCCTGTACAAAATCACAGGGAGTTGGGGCAACAGGGGTAGGAAGAACTGATTAGTCTAACTTCTCTTCTTTGTAAAATAGTCAATTTCCAATTCTAGGAAAAAATATATTATCAAAGAAAACAAAAAAACCAAACTCTCAAATGTCCCCAAAATATCATTCCCTTTCTACCACCTATTCACACACCAAGTCCAGTCATACAATATATGTGCAAAAGGGACTTTCATTCATAAGCAAAATCAATTTTTATTAGTAAAGTTCTTTCCACATTTCCAAGGCAAATTATAAAAGTCCAAGGAAAACACCTACATACAGTGAAGTTAGAAGCATCTCAGGATGACAAAAAGTACGTAAATATGTACACCCACAATCACCACCGCCTTCGTAGACCTGAAAGGGAAACCAAGAATGAGGCAAAGGACAGTTGGAAAAGCCGAAGGACAGAAAAAAGGGCCATCTAGAGAGAAGGCTCAACAGGGCAGGTTCTAGGCAGTGGTCTCTTCATCTTTGTAGGGGCTGAAGAGATGGCCCAGGCCTCCTGCAGAGGACCCAGGTTCAGTTCCCAGCATCCACGTGGCGGCTAAACCACCTGTTCCAGTTCCAGGGGCTCCAAATGCCCTCTTCTGGCCTCCATGGACATCACACACACAGGTGCATTTACATGCAGGCAAAACATTCACACACATAAATAAATCAAAAAATATTTTTTAAAAAAATACTCGCAAATGGAAATGGAATTAAACAGACCCTTCAGGTGATGCTTTTTTTTTTTTCCCAGTCTTTTTGAGACAGGGTCTCTCTGTAGCTCCAGCAGTCCTGGAACTCACTATGTAGACCAGGCTGGCCTTGAACTCACAGAGATCCACCTGCCTCTGCCTCCTGAGTACTGGGAATGCTTTTATAATTCTATTTACAGATACCAAAACATGAGCTGTGGGACCTTTAGAGATGTAATCCAGAGTTGTTTTGTGAGTGGCACTGATTTCTAGCTTGGGAAAGAAGAAAAACAAAAGCCTACCTAAAGAGATTAATGCACAGTATGGGAGAGATATTTGGGGGATAGGCAAGACACAGGATAACAATTCTGAGAGGTGGTAACCCAACTCAAGTTTTCCAACCTGTACTTCACTACCTTCATCCTAGTGGTTCACTGACCTTTTTTCTTTCGACCTTTCTTGGGTATCTTCTTTCGTTTCTTAATAGGATTCTGATCCTGGAGACAAACAAAGAAGTGAAGCCAAGGCAGGGCATCTCTAAGCTGTAACACTCCTTTCCAAGGACACTGTACTAAGCCCACATACATCTGGCTGGAAGCAGGTCAGATGCCTGCTGTATCTCCACCTTACCTCATCTAGATGAGCAGCTCCTCCTGTCAATGCACTGATGTCACTGAAGTGCGTCAGGGAATGAAGTTGTGAGCTCATAACACTTGCTCGCCTTCGCCGTCCTTTCTCTTTCTTACTAACACTTAAACGTACCATCATGCTCTCCTCATAGTTAATTCTGCCAGAGAAAGAGTTTCCAGAAGGTTCAGACCAGGAAAATGGAAAGCGTAACCTAGAACTTGGGCCCAGGCATCTACTCATCCTCATCAGAATCCTTAGGACATTATACAGACCAACATAGTATTTAGTTAAGGACATGCAATGTTCACTAACAAACACCCTCATGGAAAGGTCCTCTCCTAGGTCTTCCCTGACCCCCAGAGATGAATATGTAGACCACCCACACAACTACTTAAAATCTACTGCAGAAGTCTTACATTTCAGCTCTATAAAACAGGATTTCTTGAATGGGCCCTTTCATACAGCCCATCAACTACAAAGATGATATATGCAGCAATATGTGACAGGCCTGCATTCAACTGAGTTGTTTTTCTACTGTTTTCCTAAATTCACAGAGTATTCTTCCATGTCACTACAAAAACCTGCCCTTCTTTATTGCCTTCTATCCAAGAGTGAGATTGTGACACTGACAGTGAACCGTGGCCTGGGAAAGTAGAACTGAATATGTTCTTTTTCTACATAGCATTTGCTTGAGCCTAAGCAGACGGAGGGAAGAAGAAAACAAAACACCCACTCCTGACCTAGCTCTTGTCTGTACTTCAAACTCCTCAACCTTACAACCCTCATTCCAAGTCTTCCACTCCGCTTTCTGTATAATTTTGGTTTCCTTGGTGCCAGACTTAATCAATTCATCCAAAATTTGAGGACAGATCTCTACAGATTTGACTCCAACAACTCAGACCTATGTTGATCCTCCTGACTCTGGCGAGTAACATGAGGATGCCGAGCATCACGAATTTCCTCTGGAGCATCTGAGTATTGCTCTTTAAGTTCACGAATAACAGAACTGCTAAGTGCCCGTCTCTTTGCTCGTTCCAGACGCTTTTTCTCTCGTTCAGCTTCTGTTTCATCTATGTGATAAAAATTCACAAGGGTTACCCTGGAATAAAGAAAAGGAAGCAGGAAAAAAACAAACAAACAAAAAAAAACCTCCCATCAAGGAGGCAACAGCTTATACCATAGTGTACGGGAACCAAGCGTGGTGGAACATATTTCTTAGACACTCCTTTCACAGATTTCTTCCCTGAAGCCTCAGACTGGCCATCCTCTGCTTCATCTCCCTCTTCATCCTCAGAGCTTAACTACAAAAGAAAACAATGTTTACAAATTTACAAAGGTTTAGGCAGACAAGTGAGAAGAAACCTCAATGCTGGATGACCCAGGGAAGACAGGCAGGAAGGAAACTTCATACTGGAGCCCTTAAGCCACAAGTTGGAAAGAGAATCCTAAGAGATGCAGGATTATCACAGGGTACACAGGGCCCCCTTTGGGATGTTTTCCTTCAGGAAAACCAGGAGGACAATACAAACCTCTTACCTTGCTCATCAAATTGCTGGGATGAGGCTTAAAACGAAGTGGGTCACTCTCACCTGAAATGTGAAACCCAAGAGATTTTACAAGATTTGGAACTTATACTAATCCTACAACTTTATGATGGTCTTTCCACTTACTGAGGCTGCCTGTCACTGCAGTCTTGACTAGTTTGTCAATTTGATACTTCAGTTTTTGGTCCAAGGGACGAAGTTTTTCCAAAACCTACAATGTGGTGATTAAAAATGATTAAATTTCCTTTCCTAAATCAAGTACACACCAGAATCCCTGTGTTGTTGCATTGGCAACTACAACATTCACAAGTAGAACAAATGAAGACAAAAATACTTTTTATCTTTACTCAAGTAAGAGAATACCCCTTAAGTGAGAGATACTTCGATAGCCCTGGAGTTCAGGATTTAGAAACTAAGACCCCTACGGTGCAAAAGCCTCGTACCGTGCGAATCTCCACCAGCCTCAAAATTGCAGCATGTCCCCGAAGAGAACCTCCTGAAGCTTTGTCCAGGATGAGGTGGCTCAGATCCATAAGGTACATGAGCAACAGCTGGTCTTTTACTTCCAAGAAGCTGAGACCCTAAGTTAAACCAAACAGTAAGAAACAGATTTAGTTTTAGCCAAGAAATCAGAAGTAGCTACAGCAAATATTAGGATAAGGCTTTTCCAATTGGTTCACGTCAGGTGTCTGAAATACGTCTCTCCTCATCTGCAGTCTTGTATTTTAGTTTCTGTGGTTACTCAGTAAACTGCAGTCCAGAAATACTAAACAAGTAGTGGCTCATGCCTCTCATCTCAGTACTCAGAAGACTGAAACAAGAGGATTGTCACAAATTCAAGGTCAGTCTGGGCTATGGAGAACTTAATTCATGTAGTACAGGCTAGTCTCAAACTCACTACATAGCTGAGAATGACCTTGAATTCCTGATCCTCCTGCCTCCACCTCCCAAGTACTGAGATTAGAGGTGTGAGCCACCACAACTGGTTTTATGTGGTGCTAGATTGAAGCACGGCAAGTCCTCTACCAACTGAGCCACATCTACAGCTCCTTACTTGGTTTTTAAACAGGTCTCATGTACCCCAAGCTGGTCTGGAACTCTGTATGTAGCTGGGGATAACCTTGGAAATCATGATACACCTGCCTCTATCTCCCAAGTGCTGGGATTACAGGTATGTGCCGCCACACTTACTCCAGTTAATGCTTTAAATTATGTATTATTCTATTGTGATGAAATCTTGTGTCTATCTCACTCCATTCCACCTGGGATATGAATCATCCACAAAGCTAATGCTGTCAGTCATTTAGCAGCCACCTCAGTTCAACTGTCATATCACAGCACTATTATCCCAGCAACCCTCCTTAATAACTCCCCAGCATATACCTAGGAGCAGTGATGAAAAAGCAGCAGGGCATAAATTGCAGAAGGACAAAAATACCCTGGTACCAGGGAGCAAAACTCAGGTCGCATGGGAAAAAATACAGCATATATTAGATTTGTGGCAGGAGATGGTGGTGCAAGCCTTTAATCCCAGAACTTGGGAGGCAGAGGCTGGTGGCTCTCAGTAAGTTCCAGGCCAGCCAGGGCTGCATTTAAAAAAGATCCTGTCTACAGACTAAAAATAAAAATAAAATAAATTGCTATTGTGATTCAGGCAGTCACTATCAGGTCTTGATATGTACCCCCATGGACAAGGGGGGGAACTACCACAGCCTCAAGAAGTAGCTGCACCAAAAAGAGCCAAAAGAGAAAATTATGGTAACACAACAGAAGCAAGCATAAAAAATTATGCAGAGTGTGAAAATCATGCCAGGCATGGTGGCATACACCTTTAATTCCAGCACATGGGAGGCTGAGGCAGGCGGATCTCTGTGAGTTCAAGGCCAGCCTGGTCTACATAGTGAGTTCCAGGACAGCTGGGGCTACAGGGAGACCCTGTCTCAAAAAGACCAAAAAAATAAAAATAAAAATTACTCCTCCCCCAAATTAATCAAAATAATGATCAATTTTATCCTCATTACAGACAAAACACATGGTTTATATACTGGTATGGAACTAAAAGCTGTAGAGTGTTTATAACATGGTCCCAACTGGGAATGGGGTATATGATACATACATTAAGTTTATTTTTACTATGAGCTGGAAGAGGTGACACACACCTTTAATCCTAGCACTCAAAAGACAGAGGTAGGTAGACCTCTGACTTCAAGGCTAGCCTGGTCTACACAGTGACTTACAAGCCAGCTGGGGCTACAGGGAGACCCTATCTCAAAAAAAACAAAATTCAAACAAACAGGGAGCTAGAGCTCAGTGGTTAAGAGCAACAGTTGCTCTTATAGAGGACCTGGGTTTGATTCCTAGCACCCACATGGCAGCTAACAATCATCCACAATTCCCATTCCAGGAGAATCACACACCCCCTTCTGACCTCCACAGGCATTGAATGGGAGAATCACACACCCTCTTCTGACCTCCACAGGCATTGCGTGACACGGGTGCACTTAACTACATGCAGGCAACACACTCATACACATAATAAAGATCAAAAAAAATTTTTTTTTAAACCCAAACAAAAAAATTCATTTTTATTGCTTTTAAATTATGTATTTTTGTGTGTGTCTATGTGCACATGAGTGCAGGTGCCCTCGGAGCTTAGAAGAGAGCATCAGATTTCCCTGGATAGGCAGTTGTGAACTTCCTGATGTGGGTGCTGGGAACTGAACCTGAATCCTCTGTAAGAGCAGTGGGGTATGAGTTCTTAACTGCTAAGCCACCATTCCAACTAGATCATATTGATTTTTAAAATATCTTTTTGCACTTTTTATGTATCCTCCAAATTCCCAAAATTAAAATTGTGTTATAGGGTTGGAGGGTGTAACTTATCTAGCATTTGGAAGGATTTAATCCCCATCACCACAAAAAGAAAAAAAAAAAAACCCAAAACTCCAAATGTTATAGATTTAAAGCTATAGAAAAAAAATCAAAGAAATTATGAGTATTATTATTTTGGTCTTTTTGAGACAGGGTTTCCCTCTAGCCCCAGCTGACCTGGAACTCACTTTGTAGACCAAAATGGCCTTGAACTCACAGAGCTCTGCCTGCCTCTGCCTCCCAAGTGCTGGAACTAAACGCAAGTGCCATCACGCCCAGCTTATTAAATTTTTTTTTTTTTAAAAGATGGGGTCTCCCTGTAGTCCCTGCTGGCCTGGAACTCTCTAGATAGACCAGGCTGGACTTCATCTCACAGAGATCCCCTTGACTGGGATTAAAGGCATGCGCCACCATGACCAACTTAAAAGTTAAAATTTTTAAATGAAATAAAATAATATGTACAGCATTTACTTAAGTTTGTAGTTATTAAAAAGACAGGTAAGTCATGATTGCATAAAATGATATTACCAGTCCACAGCACTGGGAAAACGTACTTCAGATGGGTTAAATACTTGGGTCAAAATTACACAGTAAGAGTATAAATCAGAGTCATACTCCAACACCTAAGTCCTGGATACAACATGTTTAGCTCTTTATATCAGCCCTAGTGCAGTACAGATGAGCCTTTGACAAGTGGAGTTTCAATTCTGAAGTAGGCATCTGGCAGTCAAATATTGGTTAAGTCACTTAACCCTGGACTGCAATCTCCCCATCTGCAGCATTCTTCCTGCCCTAAGAAAAATTACAAGACAAACAGGATTAACACGAAAGCACTCTGTTCCAGGCATGGTGGCGCACACCTTCTATCTCATCACTCTGGAGGCAGAGGCAAACAGATCTCAATGAGTTCAAGGTCAGCCTGGTTTACACAGTAAGTTTCAGGCCAGCTGGGGCTACAGGGAGACCCTGTCTCAAAAAAAGAACAAAAAAAAGAAAGCACTTTGTTACCTGTAATACAGTTTATAAATGTCTTTGGTCATAAAAGATGAGCTAGTAAGTATCTGTTCTATGAATATATAAAGCTGGGTGTGGTGGCGCACGCCTGTAGTCCCAGCACTTGGGAGACTGAGGCAGGAGGATCTCTGTGAGTTCAAGGCCAGCCTGGTCTACATAGGACAGCTGGGGCTACAGGGAGACCCTGCTTCAAAAAGACAAAAAAAAGATAAGCTTGTAAGTATCTGTTCTATGAATATACAAATACATAATAAAGCATGCTAGCAGCCCAGCACTAAAATATATCAAACAATAGTACCCAGAACCAAGACAGGAAAGAATGAAAAGTGGGCTCTTATAAACTTGAGCATACCAAACTCAAACTGGGCTACAAGCATGTGAAAAAAACAAAGGCTAAAAAAAAGAATAATCACAATAATAATAAAGAAATAATAAGCAGTAAGAACAAAAGCAAATGATGATGAGGCTGGAGAGATGCCTCAGTGGCTAAGAGCACTGGCTGCTCTTGCAGAGGACCTAGGTTCGAGTCCCAGAACCTACATGGTAGCTCAAAACCATTTGTAGCTCTAGTTCCAGCGAACCTGATACCCTCTTCTGGCCTCTGTGGGTACCAGATATGAAGTCCACATACATATATGCAGGCAAAACACTCATACACATAAAGTAAAAATACATTTTTAAAAGCAAATGATAGGAAAGAAGATTATTTAAAATGGTGTTAGCATTCTAAAAACACACAAATCTGCTGTAGCTCTCATGGCTAAAAATCATTTGTTTTGCCAGGTGTGGAGGTACACAGAGCTTGTGAGAGTGAGGGTAGCCTAGTCCAAATAGGGAGCTACAGGCTAGCTGGAGCTAGAAGGAGACCCTGTCTCAAAACAAAAAATGTTCAGACTATGACGATTTTCACATTTCTGTTTACCCATGAAATTAGTTATCTTGGGTCAAAAGCTCAATTTATGAAACGGATAACCAAGCATGGTAGTGCATGCCTACAACCCCAGAACTTAAGAGCTGGAGGCAGGTGGATAATCACAAGTTTGAAGCCAGCCAGGGCTACACAGCCAGACGCTGTTTCAAAAGACCAAATAAATAAAGCAGTTTTCCAGTCCAAGCAGTACAAGAAGTCCAGAGTTACTCTTCTGTACTAACACCAACAAGTCCAAGAATCACCTATCATGTTTTGATTTTATTTTATTTATTTATTTATTTTTTTTGGTATTTTTGAGACAGGGTCTCCCTGTATCCCCAGCTGGTCTGCAACTTTCTATGTCTATAGACCAAGCTAGCCTCAAACTCACACAGATCCACCTGCCTCTGCCTCCCGAGTGCTAGGATTAAAGGTATGAGCCACCACACCTAGCTTCAAATTTTAATTTGAAACTAGCATCATTATTTCATTGCACAGCTATAATCCTAGCACTTTGGAAGTACAAGCAAAAAGATCATGAGTTCAAAGCCAGCCTGGGCTGCTTAGCAAGCTTCCATCTCACAAAAACAGAAGGGGAAAAGGTCCAAGAAAGAGAAAAACTATGATGCTTCACGTCAGGATGCGCCATCTCAGACGCACCTTTGATGCTTCACGTCAGGATGCGCCATCTCAGATGCAGCTTTGATGCTTCACGTCAGGATGCGCCATCTTAGATGCAGCTTTTGTCAATTTCTTTTTTTTTTTTTTTTGTATTTTATGTCTACAAGTGTTTGGCCTGCACATATGTAAATGTGCCACTTGTATATAGTGCCGGTGGAGGGCCAGAAGAGGGTGTAAGCTCCCCCAGAGAACTGGAACTGGAATTCTAGGTGGCTTTTAGCTGCCATGTGAGTACGGAGAACCAAGTCCTCTGCAAGAGCAGCAAGTGCTTTTAACCACCGAGTCATTTCTCCAGCCTCTTGTCAATGGTATCTTACCACAGATTAATGACATTTTTATCCACAAGTGTTATTTTCCAAAATCCCCAATGGATGTTTGCAACGGCAGACAAAACTGAATCCTACATACACTGTTTCTTCCTATGCATTTATTTATTTTTAATTTTATTTATTATCTTTATTTTATGTGTATGTGTGTATGGCCTGCATGTAGGTAAGTGCACCCGTGTCGTGCAATGCCCGCGGAGGTCAAAAGAGGCTGTCGGATCCCCTGGGACTGGAGTTATGGATAGCTGTTAGCTGCCATGTGGGTGCTGGGATTCGAACCTGGGTCTTCTGCAAGAACAATCACTGTTCTTAACTGCTGAGCCCCTTTTCCTATGCATTTATTTAGTGATAAATTTATAAATCTGGAACAATAAAAGATTAGTAACTAGTAATATACAATAATTTTAACAATAAAAGCTATTTAAAATTTATGAGGTACATCTAAAATTTTCCATTTAGTATTTTCAGACTTCAGTTAAACTCAGGTAAGGGAAATCATAGAACATGAAGGGACAACTGCATATAAAACTAGCATGGCCCCAATTAATACTGCCTAAGATTAGATGAAACAAAACAGCAATTCCCCAACTGGCCTACAAGGCTCCTGAGTGACTGCTTTTCCAGTCTGTCTTCTACCCACATCATACATACAAAATGGGTGTATCTATCCACAAAAACCATTTACTTCCTTCCCCAGAACACCGAAATGTTTCAAGGCTTTTGCGCCACTGTACCTGAGAGAACCTCTGACTCGTACTTACTACTCAAAATCCATTATTTCTGACATGCTTTCCTTGACTCTCTCTGCTCCTCTGGAAGCTAATCTCTCTCCTCGGTTGGCACATCTGTCTGTCTCTCCGTGGCTCACTGCTATCTGTCTGATCTGCCTTCCCTACTAGACTCCTGCACTGAAACCACATACTCATCTCTGAAGCTTTTAGGACACATAGCTTGTGCGAGGGGATACTCCATCTTCAAGTACTCTTACCTTCTCTGTAGAATATGTCCCAGCTTGAACTTTTTTTGTCAGTGCTTGTACTTGTGCAGTTACAGCCGTCACCTGAAATTAGCCACATTGCTGACTAGACAACATGTCTTTGAATTGTGAAGGGCAAACACTAAATAACTTGACCTAAAAGTTATCTGAATTGTTGCTGAACAGAACTAAACAGAGGGTTCAACATTTCCTCCGGAGGTAGAGAAAAACTTTGAGTTTCTTTCTAAAGCTGGGGGAGAGATCTCCAACAAAACAAAAGGGGATGAGGAGAGGTCAGTGGAGATGGGAATTGGAGTTTTATCTGTACCGAGAACTTACAACACATAGCTCTACATAAATGTGCACTAAATGGCACTCACAGTGCGTATCATGTCACTATTCCCAACATGGCTCCTTGGTTATTTGAATAAAGAATCCTGAATGTAACTATTATACACACATGTATTCGTTTTCTGTACTTCTTTGGGTGACGAAATCAATTACTTTGAACTATAGTATGAAAGGTTTCTATTAAATCATTTTACACTTTTGAGGTGTTTTGTGGTATTCAAATATCTGCCCTGAAATCGACAGTTTGGGAGTGAAATATACAAAGTTGCCTAATTTATCCCAAAGGGAGGCCACTACGCACCTGCTCCTGGAGGTTTTTCAAAAGTGTGACGGCACTTGAGATGTCTGACTCCAGCGTCTCCTACAGAGAGGATGGGACAGAAAGATTCTTTCCTTAGAACGAGCGAGGAGGCGCTCCCGGCATGCTAAAGGGCAACTTGAGGCAGGCCCCGTGTCCCGGTCGCCGGCCACGTCTGCCCCGCCGCTCTGGCAACTTCACCACCATCCCCCACATCCGCTGAGAAGAAATACGTGCACCGTAGCCCCGAAAGCAAACAGCTAAAAAGTACTCACCGGCGCCGCCATTTTGGCAAGGCCCTCCTCTTCCGGTGCCAAACTTCCTGGGCGCAAACCCGTAGTCTCAGGTTTGACCGACAGCCGCCGCATGCAAATTTAAGCCAATAGGAATAGGAGCTATTCCACTTCCGCCTACACAGAGGCGGGCCCTCAAGTAGCCAATGGAATGAAGAAACTGACTAAATTCGTCAGACCTAGAGGCGTAAAGGATGGTCTCGGACCGAAGTATGTGATTAGTGGTTTCTGGAGAGCGAGTGAAGCTGTACCAATAAAAACTATGCAAATGGTTGATTGAAGGTTAGAAAGACCAATGGGAAGAAGGCATTAGCTGAGGGGCCTGAAAGCCTATTGGCTCCCGGATGCCGCAGTGCCAGTCTTTTCCACTGCGTTTTCCGTAGTGCCCAAGCCGGCCGCAGGGTGGCGGGCTGGACTCTGGGCGTCCGGTCGTCTGTGACAGTCCTTGTGTGGCCGTGGAGCCTTTTTCTTCGGTCAATAGGACCGTGGAGCTCGGGGGGCCCCAAAGCACGGTTTAGAAAATGGGCCGCCCTCGTGTGTACTGCGGGCGCTGCGAAAAGGCGTCAGGTGCAGCCCCGCACCCTTTTAGAATCTGGTTCAAATCCAGGCTGTGCACATTTCCGCTGTCCGGCTCATCTTTCTCACTATCTTCCAGAATGCCAGCTCCGTCCCTCCTCATTGGCTGGTGGGCAGTCACTGTTACCATCATACGGCACTGAGAGAGCAGGGATGCTCTTGGATTTTTTTTTTTTTTCCTCCCCACAACAGTGGAACTCACCTAGAACTGGAAATCAGGTCTGAGGTGGAGGTGTTTTCTAGAATCAAAAATAATTCCCTTGGGTCATGCAGCCCGCGTGGAAATACCCTAGTTTCTATGCCCTTGGGGATGCCCGAAATTGCAGGAGACTTTGACAGTGATTTGCTATTTTTGGTCCATCGGGAGGCGCTTAATCAATTAACCAATAGTTTTCATACGTTTATTGATTTTTTTTTTTTTTTGGCATGCATTTATTGTGTGTGCGGCGGACACTAAGAGGTCAGAGGACAACTTGAGGGAGTCGGTTCTCTCCTGCCATGTGGGTCCTGGGGATAGAATTCAGGTTTGGCTGCAAGCGTCTTTACCCGCTGAACCATCTCTCCATGCTTTTTTGTAGATTCATCAGGATTTATTTATGAAATTTCAACTTCAACATAAGTCTTCATACCCGATACAAATAAGCTCTTTCTTGGAACTTGGAATTTGTTCATAGGCATTATGAAAAACATGAAAAACTATTACAATATCTGAGAAAATAAATTACATTGCCATATTTTTTATTATTAAAATACCAACACTCCCGTGTTGCAAGAAAATCTTACAATTAACAATATAAATCTTTGCAAATATATTCCACATTCAACCAGCAAGCAAGGAACACAAGATCTTTGATTTGACGCATAACATTTACAAGAATATACTAAGCAAAAAAAAAATGTTTTTAATTTTAGCAGTGGGGTCTTGCTATGTTGCCCAGGCTGACCTCCCAAGTACTGATAAAGGCACACACAACCTTGCCCACTGCAAAATTTTTAACATCTTTATCAAGGTTCAATACACAGGCCACACAATCCAGCATTATTTTGTTTTATTTTTATTTCATTGAGACAGAATCTGGCTATGTACCTCTATTTACCTGGAACTCTCCATGTGGACTGTACTAGCCTTAAACTTGCTGCATTTCTCCTGCTTCTGCCTCCCAACTGCTGGGATTTCAGGATGTACCATCATGCCCAGCCTCAATTCAACATTTAAAGATGGTAAGCCGGCCCAGTGGGTAAAGGCGCTTACCATTAAGCCTGATGACCCAAGCTCAGTCTCCAGGATCCACATGGTAGAAGAGAACCAACTCCTGAAAGTTTTCCTCTGACTTCACACACACACACACACACACACACACACACACACACACACACACACACACTGAAAAAAAGAACACAATTCCAAGGTTTTCAGTGTATTCACAAAGTTTTGCAAATACCACCATAGTCATTTTTAGTACATTTTTTACAACCTGGAAAAAAAATACCTATCAGTAGCCATTCTCTCTCTCTCTCTATCTCTCTCTCTCTCTCTCTCTCTCTCTCTCTC